ATGAAGAGACATTAGGTTACATTTTTCATCCATTTAGGGTTGAGGAGGGGCGAATGCGCTACTTAAAGTCCACATTCTCTTTCTTTACCAGCTGCTTTCTACACAGCCATCCTACCTGACCCAGAGTCAGGGAAATTATTCTGCACAAGTGTTTTGTGTTAAACCTCAAGTGACCACTGAAATAACTGAGTAAAGTGATCATATTTTACACAAGAATCCTTTTTTAAATGGTTGTTTGTGCTCCTCATACCTACAACATTTACTTTATCATTCAGTTATGGTTTTGAGTCACTTTTCTGCAAGGAGGAGTAATCCAACCCGACTCATCTTCTGAGCTGATTTCATTGTCACTTTGAGGCAAAATTTCCACCTCAAACCTTTTCCAGCATGAAATGTTGCTACCCTCACTCTGTTAGCAAAGAGGCTTTGTCCAGTAAATGTGGTTTACTTTGTGGAAGTGCTTTGAGTGCCCAGTAAGAGTAGAAAAATGACAATTATAAACCAGAAAGGAAACAATTATATTGTAGTGACAAGAAGTGGAAAATTATAGTCAAAGCATCAACATGTTTGAAAGAAGACATGTTGTCATGACAAATGCATGGGGGGGAAAAGCCCACTTTTATCAATAAATATCTCATTAAGAGCAAACAGAAATATGCGTAACCCTTCCCTTTGTAATCCACTTTGATCAAGTATTTACCTATTAAACAAACCTGCAATGTACTGTTGGGTAAATTGCCACCTTACATTAACTATTAATGACAGGCTAAAGAAATTCATGATGGACGCAGCTAAACTGGCATCACTTATTGATTTGTGAACTCCTGTTGATCTCAGCACTGCAGTCCTCAATATCTTGTTTCTGTGGCGTCATATTTAGACAAGAGGAACAAATGCTATGTTTTCAGCTAATGCTGCATCCACAGATACCAGCTAATTAGTGCTCAGTAACATCTAAACAAAATCACTCCAAAACTGGAGCTCAGACTTTTTGGATGGTCTGTTAGTGAAATGCAGTGCACAACACCCATATTATTGGTCAGAACTATGGAATTAAAATGCTCCAAAAGGCTCCAAGAGCACAAATGTGGTCCAGAGGTCCAGTTCAGAGACTCTATTTAGCAGTTAAGAGTCAGCTGAGCGTCTGTGAAAGTTAGTGTATCATGATAGTATCAAGATATGGATTTTGAGCTTGTCTGTCTCACTGTGGCAATGGTAACATA